ACACTGCATCTTTGTTTTTGAAGTGCGTTTTTAAACTACTATTATAAAAACTCTATCATTCTGTTCTAATGGTTGAAACATATTCCTGTGAGTTTTCATTTGTCGAATGAACTGTTTGTCAATTACAGAATACATATATTTTAGTACAATTTTCTTTTCAAAATGTGCATGCATGTATTTTCTATTAGCTTCAGATCTTGATCAAAGTTTGGCACCCAGTTCATAGGAGTGCTTATATTGATTTTCTGACATCTTGTTTTCTGTAAAGATTTTATTGGTAGGTTTGCAAGTGTGTATCAGACTGTGCAAAAAATCTCTCCATGAGATGGTTTTGAAACCCAGTATAGTATTCCCATGGGATTTGGGGGATACATTACCAAGGATATTATTACAAGATAAATGATTTGCTTCATTGAACACATACAACAATGCATATTTCCACTGAGATCAGTGACCTTTGATGTGTATAACCAGTGATCAGTCAAGTAGAAACAGTCAAAATATTTTATCAGATTTTCTCAATTTGAGCATGATATTTTAATACAGGACATCTGTTGTTCAAGTTCAATGAAGTTTGTTATGCACACAATAACAATTATTAACGACGACAACGACAACGCAGGACAAAATATTTCTCCTAATATACCTTTCCCTTCCATCTTTGTTGGTACGGGCAAGGTAAAAACGATGAAAAAGACGGTCGTCACACTTTCAGGAGCTAATAAACGACAGCCTTACAATTAGATGACGAAAGTGTTCTACAATCTTGTAATGAAATGTTCGCTTGCTGGGATTTTCCATGTATGTAATGGCTTAACATTTAGAATATATGGTTACCTTGGGAACAAAGACAACATCTGGATGCTGCTGCTCCACGAAGAGTCTGCCACCATCATCAATGGTGGCTCGCACACGATAGGTTCCTATGCTATCACTATCAGTGATGCGTAAACCTTTGAATCTGATTGGTCGACCCTGACTTGTCTCCAAGGTGACGGACTCAGAGTTGTCATCAAAGCTTATAATTGGTGGGTCGTTCCTTGGTAGAACTGTGATGTGTAATTGTTTAGTGGTCTTTGCCTGTTGTAAATATGGCTGCTGTCTTTCGTAGCTGACGGCATGCACATCAATACAGACACTTGGTTCTGGGTTTTTGCCTGGACTGAATGATAAATAGAAAAATAACCATCGAACCATGGCCTGATTACAGCCATACAAAGCCATATCAGATGTTAACTTCAAAGAAATTGATATGTACATCAATAAGGAGAAGTAAAACAAACCTTAGTTTAAGATTTTTCAAGAGTTCCGGTTCTATTCTGTGTAGATCACTAGTGGTGAGTGGGACATTATTATTTAGAAACTGCCAATCAGTGGGTAACCTGAGATCACAAGTACATCTACCTGTATTCAAAATAACAATACATAGTATATCATAGAAGATTAGTGGGTCTAACTGAACAGAAAATTAATTTATTCAATTCTCAGATGCTTTGGCACATTGCCAGACTACAGATCTGGAAGACTGAAGATGATTTTTTTGTTAACTTAATTGCCCTGGAGTACCATAAATCAAACTTTTTTTTTTCAGATGGTATACCTAATAATTTAACAATCATAAAGACATAGTGATTTTGTTCAAATTTTGTAATTAGCTTGCCTATATATGGTTTGCTGTTATATAAACATTCCTGTTGGGTGGGACTCACCATGTGCACATGCTCAGTGATGACAATATTTTATTACGATTATTTCTTGTAGATTTTGTTGTAACCTTATCTTATTTTAACAAAATTTACCAATGTTTAATTCCCTAATGTCTTATACATTAATAATAAATAAAACTTGACATTGTCTTCCCAATATTAAAACTTGCCAACTTTTCAAAAATCTCAGGAGAAGACTATTAAACAATAATATTAAAACTAGCAAATTTGTAGGATAACAAAATATAAATGAGCTAATTTGCATATTGTTAAAAACATTCAGTTTTGCCAGCTTTTTAATTAATGTTGATTTTTTACTCAAAATACATGCACATGCAGTTACATTCATACGTTTTACAGAAATATTGTCCCCTCAAACAAAATGCAGTTTTATATTACACAGGATGCAAGAAATGGCAAAATGCATTCAAATGTTGTTGCACCTGCATTGTGCATATTCATATTTATTTTAAGATTTGAAAACACGCCACATACCCATTATCTCATCACATCTGAGTTCCTCACCACAATCACAGAAGGATATGAGGAGTGATTCAGACCCGTCCTTGTCAAAGATATCGGCATCAATTTTCACCGGCAAGATCTCATCATCGTATCCCAGAAGTGGTTTGACCTCCAACAGCGGTGGATCGGCTTGTGACCGCATACTTATTATCACTTTACTTGGTTCACTCGTCTCCTTCTCATCTTGAACGGTATAGTAAAACACCTCAATTCCAGAGTAGTGTTCAGTCGGACTATATATAAATACAAGTAACGTTATGTTAACACATTGAAGTGTAATTGATAACAAGCATTTCGTCAGAAATTCTACCAAAATCACAGCACTCAGAAAATACACAGCTCGTTGACAAGAAGTAGTGCAATACAAACACTTATATCATAGAAAGTGAGTATGCTGTGTATTAGTTATTAATAATAATAACTTGATTGTATCTTGTAGAAATACACATGTTTTTATCAGTATATAGCAACAAATAATGACGTTTTAAATCAAATTTTTTAATCAAATTTGTAAGAACTATAGCCAATTGGAAGTCATGTAGAGACTGTCCAAAATTAACAAAAACCTTTTGAAAAAAATGTTGGTTAAAGCCCCCAAATTGTTCATAGCATTAAACTAAGACAAGAACAATAAAAAAAAGAAAAGATTGATTGATGTATGTACACATTTTAACTCACAGGAATGAAACATTGTTACCATGACAACCAAAAGGGCATTCATGTTATACTATTATAGAGGAGGCGCATACCTGTAACAATAACATCATTAATAATTGCATTTGTGATATAGATATGCACATAATAGGTACTAATGGTTTCACTGAGCATCAAAATCAAAATCTGCCCCTGTAATACATCTACTGAACAGTGAATAGCAATTATAAAGTTGTTTTGTAAAAATTGATGATTGATACATTAAGAAAGAAAGTAGCATGTCACTATAAATATATATATATATATCTATAGATGTGTTTATCATCATTTATAGAAGACAGTTGCTACAGTCAAGTACGCTGACTTACTTGAACATGAACAACCCGGTCTGAGAATCCAGATCAATCCGAGCATCACCGCTGTCGATGATCTTAAAGTGGAGACTTTCACTCAACTCTTCGCCCTCACGGGGACAAGCTGTCAGTTTACCAAACAGTACATGGTCCTCATGGCTTTTGTAGTTCAAGTCTAAAGCCGTCAACTTTTTGCTCTCTGAAATATGAAAAGAAAATTTTAATGTTAAATCTAAATTTATTCATAAAACCTTATCTGTAATATATGTATGGTTTTTTTATGTGTCCTTTTAATTCGTCAGCAGCAAATTAGAGAAAAACAACTTGTACTGCTTCTGACGCCTATTTTAGAACAATTTTATTTAATAACTTTGTGTAGATCTCTTTTGACAAAGAAAGCAACCATGTTTATAGAGCACTATTTACTTCATTCCAAGAGACAGATTTGCCTCTTGGAATGAGTTAACAGAATCTTAATTTAGCTAAAGTGTCGACTATCTCCCTATGAGAATATACTTTCTGTTAAATTAGCTACATCTTGAATTAGCAAAATTACAGATTAGCTAAATTAGCAAAAATAACATGCTAGCTAAAATAACATGTTTTACAGTAATTTAATCACTTGCTTTTTCAAGATATCAACTTTAGTGACTTAACAATATACAGGAAATAACAGTGACATTAAATCTTAAAGTCATTCGCAGACATTCAACCTATAATATGAGAGTAAACAACTTTTGTAATAATGTTATTCTTATACAACTTTCTATAAACATTTATCAAATTTAAAATTTATCGGAGGCACACATTAAGAATGATGGATTATTTTTAATAAGTAAAAATTGTTCCATACATAGTATCTGTCTGAACTCAGTCTGAAAACTAGGAATCAATTACACTGAATCTGTTTATTTACATGTTACTTATGCAAGAAAAGACACCTGTTTGTAGACACTTGCAAACGTTTGATTTTGCAGGCAGAAATGAGCAAGGTTATCAAATTTAAAACAATCTGCAATAAAACTTCTTTCCCGCTCACTTATTTGCCATTTAGTATCTCAAGAAATGTAAGTTGGTCTTGATACTAAATGTAATCGTATCACAAGTCATGTGACCATCATACAATGACTTGCAAACCCTTATCTTAAAAATCATTAATACAGCTTCAAAAAGACTAGCTGTTGCCATCAAACCGTGAAAAAAAGACCAATAATAGTAACAGTGTCAATCATGCAATCAGGGCAGTCATTGATCTGTACTATTACCAACTGTATAATGACATACACTCAATGCATGACTGAAGAGATCAGTGTACTTTGATAACATATGACAGGTTCTTAAGTGGCTTATCATATGAGGTGACACACACACACCTCATGTTAATGATTATCAGGGGCCGGCACATATATATCAAACTGAGAAAGCAGTAGGCTTGAAATGGACAATGAATGTTCTAGAATTTCCATAGGCTGTAACCGAACAATTCAGAATATGCAACAAATTGGTTACTGTAAAATACTTTATTTTAACTGGAATTAATTTTCACTGACAAGACTTTTCGGATGTTTTGTGATTTTTGATGAGTTGAATGTAAAATATAGAAAAAAACTTAAGGTATATTCGCTGGATTTTATTTTCACTGAATCTTTCCTTCAGTGAAAATAGCGTAAATTAATTCCAAACATAGATAAAGTATTTTACAGTACTTAATTATGCTAATCATATTCACAATGACAATTTGATTAGCTACATTAAAACCTTCCCCATTCGCAACAGTGGGGTAAAAATTTGAAAAATTGCTTGTTGAATCACTGATGCTTTGTGCTGATGGTTGATATGATGTAGGTAACCATCACGGAAACATGATGCAACTTTTATGTACCAGGTATATGACTATCAACATTAAGACAACAAATTCAAAAATGGGGTCTGTTGTTTTGAAATCCCCTAAAATTTGAAGAATTTATAATACTGACCCATTCACTGAGATTTTAAAATGTATGGAAAAATTAGGAATATTTTTATTTAAATTTTTTTCTGAAATTTTCTTGTAACCACATTATCACTATCATGACATCTGAACTATACAGTGTTTTCCCTTTCCATAAGAGTCAATTAATTATTAATCTTAACATGTGAAGTTGCTCAAATTATGACATTTGATTAGACAGAGAAAAGTTACATGATTTAAACTTCTCATAATATTTTAGTATTACGATTAATGCACTGTAACATCATATTTAAAGCATTTAATGACATTCGTGAGGAAATGCGAAAAAAAAATTGCAAAAACAAAAGATGTTGTGACTTAGTATAATTTGGAACCTAGTGGTATTTTCATGAAATTTGTAAAAATAAAGCGACATACAATACTTTATTTTAGCTGTATTTAATTTTTGCTGAATAGAGTTTTTTTTGGTCTTTTGTATGGAATTGATTTTCACTGATTTTTGATAAGTTTAATGTATAATATTGGGAAAAAGGTATATTCGCTGGATTTTATTTTCACTGAATCATTCCTTCAGTGAAAAAAGCAAAAATTAATTCCAAGCGAAAATAAAGTACTCCACTGTATATTAAAATTAAATGACCAAAATGTATAGAGAATTTGTTCACTAAAAATACATAAACAAATTTGTAAGTAGGATTATATTGATTGTTTCTTCTAATCTTGTTAACATTTCCTTAACAAATAAACTGAACACACAACTTATTGTTAAACACAACAATCAAATAATCAGGTTATTGCCTTGATAAGTCAAGTTATAAAGGTAAAAACACAGAGACAAGCAACAGTGGTCTTTTCTTCAATGTAATATCTCTTGGGATTTCAATGTGATTTTTAATATTCAACATGTTTGAATATTTTAAGACACATACATACAAAATACAAGAAAATATTAAGTATGTTTTTTCGAGGAGTGAATTATGAAATAAAATTATATATAAGCTACACATTACAGGTAGTAGGAGATATATTATATCCAGTTTTCAAAAACTGAGTTATGGCTTGGAGTTGACAGTCAACTACAATTTCTTTGTAACTTATAAACGATAAAATAAAATTTATTCATAGATTCGAAAACAAAAACAAATTTACATCACAGCATACGAAGAGAATAGCTGTTCAATATATTTGATACAGTATGGTTTTGAAAACATTGTACCGGTAAAAGAGTGATAGTTCAATTGTGGATTGTTTTGCACACCAAGAGATGTTTATCTTGGACATAATATTCAATTTCCTTTTAGTTTTTTTAATGCACTTGCCAGTCCTTGTATTCTCTAATATCTTTGGTCAAGGTAACTTGCCCTGATAAAAAGGAACAATTCAAGGTGACTGGTATAACCACAAGAATCTGAAAACATTTCTCCATTTGCATTTAAAAAACAAGGTCAACATTTCTCGTTTAACTCAAGATCCACTGGTGGAAAAAATATTTTTAAAAGTAGTAATACATTTATTACAATTTGTAAAATCATAGACTTTACAATAGAGTATAGGCTATGGTACAATAAGTCTCAAATGTTCAGCAATTAATTAAGTACAAACATTTTACTAGAGTAAAAAAAACAACAGATTTATGATTTAAGTTCTATTTGATAAATTGAATTTATTTAAAATGATATGTACCCCTTGGTAATGTTTCAAAGAAAACAGATCCTACAAAAATATGCTAATTAATGGGGCTATGTTGAGTAAATGGTTATAAACTACATTTTGAGGTGCATGAAGTTTCAGCAAAAAAAACAAGGAAAATATACGAGATTGCTAATTTAATTTTCAAGCTAAAAGGCATTCAATGGGTTTGAAGAAAGTTGATGGAGAATAATTACACTATGCAAAATAGTAATGCTAATTATATTTAATTATATTTAATTATAGATCAGTTTTAGCAGAGTTCAATCAATCTTTGGATATCTATGTTTTGATAAGAAGCGATACAAAAAAGAATGTAATTTTAATATTCAACTGAAATCAATATCAAAACACAGTAGCCATGTTGTCACATTGACAGAAATCAACAAAATGTCAAGATGGCAGAACATATACCACTATCTTATGCTAGCAAAAATTATATACTGTGTGATATACATTGTAACTGTTTGAGACTAGACAAAAATATTAGTATGTTGCGGCCTATACTCAGTAACATTTGTGTTTTTACACGTTTTGATCAAAATCTATTAAAAATCTGGCCACTTTTTTGAAAGGTAGCAAAAGTACTGCTTACAGGGCTTTATGCTTCACATTATTTACACTGTAAGTTACCAGTGGCCAAAAGTGACCAGATTTGTTTGTAGATTTTGATCAAATCTTGTAGCCATCATCCTGACAAAATTACTGGATTTTATAAAAATATATGATATGAAACAGCATTCATTTGGGATGTCAAGAAATGCATCAAATACAATATGTACTTACGAGAACATGTCTGTGCCGAGACAACTACCAACGACAACACAAGCAACACGAACGGCTTCATCTTTGAAGCAAGTAGGGAGTAAGTATGAAAACTGATGACCCTTGAACAACTCCCTTATAACCAAACCATTGTATGCTAATTAGATTACTGTCAACATTGATAGGATGATTGTGGTGCCACACTGGAAGTACTTGAGGCTGTCTGTCACTTTGCCAGATTAGATAAAAAAGGGTCAATAAGATGAGACCATGTGACACATGATGGACATAAATACAACACGAGTCAGTGCATGGGATGTTATTTATTGTACACAGATGCATTCTGGGTAATAGCAATAGTACAGTACTTTGTATAGTAGAGTCAATACAAAGCTATTTACAAGAATGTGCCTGATTGGCTACCCAAATCTAATACCTAACACTCGGACCAATCAGAGAGCACCTGCATTCAAATGGTCTTTATATGAAGATTGGGTTTTTGTGACATAATATTTGTTCGGAAAATAATGAGATGGTATCAAATGAGTTTGACTTGAAAAGAAAAATTGTTTATAAAAAGAATGCTAATCATTATTTTGGTGTCTTAAAGAGTGTCAGTCATCGTCCAGCACAAGTTTGAATTTCATGTAAACAAACAACAAATAAGAAACAAACAAATCCATGTTTATCTCCAAATCTTGCATATGCAGTGTGATGACCACACATCCTAACAAAGCAATCAAATCAAATATCTCCTCGTTGGTGTTACCAGTACATCTAAGCAAATTCGATACTAGGAAACTTTAATATACTCCAAAAAATTGTCAAATTAATTATATTTTTTATAGCCAAATGTATAATATTAGGAAAACATGATGATGACATTTTACAGTGCACCCAGTGATGTCACTTTGTAATCACGTATCTAATTGCCTTGGCTTGTTGCCCATCACAGGTGTATTCAACTATTATTTGTTATTGTTCCAATAAAATGAAAAATGAAGTCACTTGCAGTTATACAAGATCTCGAAGTGGACAGAAAATCACTTATTATTTAGATTTTCAGCTAATAGTGACTATGTTATAAAGCTCAAAATGCTACAAAATGAATGAACAAATAATTTTATATTTTTCTCCCTAATTTTTTACCGACATACATTAGCCCTCTATTTCTTTAGTGGCTGTCTTCCAGATTATAGATTCACAGGTTCTTAATCTTTTCACCTAGACTGGCCCAGCCGTGGCAATTTTATAATTTTTCTAAATCATGGTTTGACGTGAAATTACTATGACTGGTCAATTCTGCAGCATATCCATTTCTATTAATTATTCATGATATGCAGTGACATTATGGAACCCAGAAGTAGAACACTTTCAAAAGAGGAAAGTACGTACATGCTACTCTTTTAATAGCATATTTATCAACACAAAAACGTGGTGACAAGTTGACAACTAACGAGGGTGCTGCAGGAATAGACCAGTCGTAATATCGCATCAATGCAGAAGATTCTACAAACTTGTTCTACAGGATTTAGTAAATAAAACAATAAAATTACAAAGACTGGGCCAGTCTACTTTTCACCACCAGTTTCAACACTTTTCATCACAAATTCACAAAATAGTCCTGTTCATATTCTGCACTTTTCATCAGAAGATTTGGACAAAAATAGCCAAATATTTTTAGTAAAAAATGAAAATTGACTCAAATTTTGTCTGTTAGCTCAAAAATTGGGTTTCATTTTCAGAAATATTAAAGAATATACAATAAAAAAGTGCAGACAAAATTTGAGGCAAGAAAGTCTGGCAGTGAAGAAGTTAATATAAAATATTTACCAGTCTCACATCATGTTTCTGAAAATAACCCATCGTTGATTTAACCATGTTTGATGTAGCTTTGTTTTGTTGCAAGAGCGCCATCACAGGTTATGAAAATGAATTAATATTTAAATTTAACACATGTCACATGAGTATGATGGCGCTATACCGATTCCGAGTTAAGGCTAGTTTACATGCGAATTCCATTGATTTGCTCGTCTTGGTAACACATTAAACACTTCAAGGCCACTGTCCTCAGAAGTATCAACGAAGAAACGCGGAATTCCGGGTAAAACCAACAAAGTCTTATCGAAGCGATCAAAACACGTTTCTTGTTGGACATCGCCATATTTGGACTCATTGATTTAGAGAAGGGCATTTGTTAACAAACTTAAAGCTAATAAATCACATTTTCACTAACTGGAACGGTATTTTTTATTATTTATTATTATATAATACTATTATTGTTAATAGAATTAACTAAGATATATATATATGAATCGTAAATAGTGAAATATTTTCATTAATTATAAATAAACCCGCCTTGAAATAGTGGAATCGTCCAGGTCGTGGTCTTTTACACCAATTCGTTTGTTCGGTAAATGTTTGCAGAGTGTTTTGCAGCGGAAGGAACGAAATTCAAACATCCCAAGGCAGTATCCTCATTTACAATGTCGGCAGGGAAACAACTATGTACTCGTCTTATGCGACGTTTCCCAGGAGATATGTCTTTCGCATTTTCTTACGGATCAGCAGTTTTCCAGCAAGAGGGATACAATAAAAACGCCGTAAGTACCAACGTAGTACAATATCATAAACTTAAACTTGTTTATCTTCTGATCAGGGAAATAATGTCGTTTCGTTACGGGGGGGGGGGTCTCCATGCTCGGGTCTCTGAATAAATTATGGTACGCAAGCTGAAGTAAAAAAAAAAAAACGCGTAAAAGGGGTGTCATTTAGTTATTTGACGCGTATACGAGTGTATCGTGTTGGGGTAGTAAAGTGTGAGAAAAGGAATCTCATGTTCCCTCAACTTGGAAACAGTATGATTTATTATGTAAAAAATAATAATTTTATTGAAATCGTATCAACAATGGGGTATTGATAAATACAATAAAGGTAATATATATAAAAATAATGACAAAACAAAATTACAAATATAAATAAAACTAATTAAATACATAACAGCTACAAAAAGAGAAAAATTTATGTTGATTATAGTTTGCGATTGTTTACATAAGTAACAAGTTAGCGGAATATGATACAACCCCGCCGATTTTTTAATGTGACCATTAAATTAATGCGCATTATGAAACTACGGTCATCACACATGCGCACTGGGTTTGTTTAGGTGTGAAAGGTCAAAATACGTATTTCAGAAACGAAAATTCAACAGATGAACGTTTGACTTCACAGATTTCACATGTTTTAATTACCATACTCAACCACGTTAGCGCCCATGCCCGGGCAAGCGCCCATCTCCCTCTTTTGCGCAATTTTTATATTCGGGGTCATATTTGGCAAAGCGTCCACCCCTTCAAAATGCAACTAATTTAAAACTTGGTCTTGTGTAACGAATCTTGGTAATCGTTTTTTATAATATGATACAGTGTGGATATCGACCGCTGTGAATATGTTGTGAATGCGTAGAACACCGTAACCATGCGTAAACTACGCTTCGACAATGACCTGTTAATGGGCCATTCCAGTTTATATCTGCACCCCCCTGTTGATGAGATTGTGTGTTTACTTCATACAGGGTATAATTTCCAAGGGTGTATAAGTCATGTTTTATTTCCAAATCACCAATCACCATACAGTGATGAAAATCCAAAACCATAGTTCTTACTTATGGTGTTGATGAGTTCCTTTGTGCCACCATACAGAGTAGGATTTCCAAATATAACTGTCATATGCTAATTTACTCAGTTCAAAATTTTATATTTGATAATGGAAATCCAAACTAGTCCTGATTCACATATTGATGAGCTCATTCGTGCCACCATCCTTATCTAATTTCAGTAATAACTATTTCATACTGGCCCAATTTTTTACCATATACAGTCAGAATTCCAAGTTTTTTTAGTCATACAGTCTTGGAAATCCAACCCCAACGGTATGTGGCGAGATAAACGAGGCCATATTTTATTTAGTAGCCATAACTGCCTGGATTTCCAGGATTTTTTTTCTATACTTGTCTGGATTTCCAGATTCTGTTTCTCCATATACAGTTGGAATTCCGGGGTATTTTCCCCATCATACAGTGCTGGAAATCCGACCTCATCAACAGGGGGGGTACAGATATAAACTGGAAATGGCCCAATACAAGTAAAATGCAGTAAATATTTCATGCCATACTCAGGCTCTCAAAAATGGCTAGTTACTAGTTTTTTGGAAAAACCATGTCGTTTATTCGCTGAAATCAATTACAACAGATCGTACTTCTGCATTGATAATTCACTTCCGCTGTGTTACCGTAAAGTCTTCGTGAATTTCCGAAGAATTGCGTCAGTACAACACAGCATTCTGATTGGTTAATAACCAACTTGACCCATTAGGTCAAAGGACACTGCTGCATTAGTATTAGCAAGTGTAACAAGAACATGATTTCGAGTGTCTACAACAAAAATTCCTAAAGACTTCTAAAAAATATTCTCACAGAGAAATTAAGTGTCTAGGCATGCCCTTCTTTCTTTTCTGGTGGTGTCGCTGATGTTCGGTGGTCGAAAATTTCAACAGTTTCGGACGTCATACCCACGCACTGACAATGGTACATGTACCATTGAATAATGCAATCGTTATTGTCACAGGCAATCATTGATCATCACCATTACAAACACAAAAAGATTCACGATACTTTCATCAGTTCTTCTTCAATTAATTTTATATCTGTCAATTTTTCATTAAACTTTGCCAAGATCTGCGGAAACAACAGCATTCAAACTAACGGTAGATGCCATTTTCAGTATTGTACATGCGAGGTTCGTCTATCGCTTCTAAACATGCTCCGAATATTACCGAATGCTTGAGATTAGTGTAATACATTGTAGGAAGGTGCCAAGAGCTAACGAGAACCAATGTTTGTGAACAAACATTGACAAATGATCATAGGGTAAAACTAAAACAATAGCGTCATGGCTCCTTCCGTTAGTACCTTCCATGTTTGTACTCAAATACCCTTAGCACACAGGAGTTGTTTGCGCAAATGAGTGTTTTGTCAAAATAAGACATATTTCATTGATCTATGTGTAGCCTACTATAAATTAA